AGATAGGACAGAAAGTGACTTCTATACTTTTAAAATTTATGCAAAACTTAGGAGGTCTTTAGACTGAGCCAACTATACTAATGGTGGTATGTATGCCTGTGAGGATCAATTTGGACATTTGCAAGAGGTGGCTATTAAATTATTTTCTATAGTACTTCACAGTGTATCATGCAAGAGGAATTTTTTTAACTTGGGATGGCTCCATAATGGGAGATATAACCTAAGTTTGGAAAAATTGGAAGAAATTTCAAAAATACATAATTATTATATTTGTAATAATAAAAAAGAAATAGAAATATTATGGAAACAACTTAACAGAAGAAGAAATTAGAAAGGTGATTACAGATTTTGAAATAGATATTGATCAAGATTTTGATGAAATAAATAAAGATGAAGATAATGATAAATATGAAGAAAGTGATGATGGCAATGATGACAATGAAGACAATGTATGTTTAGCTGAATTAAATGAACCATCATTACAAATTAGCAAATATTATGGATCCAATCAAATCGATTTAACACAAGGTTTAGATTATGTTCCCAAACAATTAGTTTTAAATATAATGAGTGATGATGATAAAGGTAATAATATTATGTATCCTAATAACATGCATCCAATTATTTATTTTATACTTATTATATTTTCTTCATTTATAATTATTTGTTTATTTAGAAGATGAAGTAAATAATATTTATTATGATTCACAAAATGGAGATAATGATTTAAATTATGAGGATTTTGAAGAAAATAATTTTGAAAGAAATAATTTAGAAGAAAATGATTTTGGAGAAGGTGATTGTGGAGAAAACGATTTTTGAAGAAAATGATTTTGGAGGTTTAAATCCTAGAAATTCAGAAAGAGAAAACCTTGATAATATTCTGGAACAACCAAAGGCTAAATCTAAAAATAGGCCCAAAATCATTCCTAAAAAACACAATTTATGTGGTGAATCATCAAAGAAAAAGAAACAGATTTTTTTTTTGTGCAAAATTTTCATATCATTGGCAATAAATTTATAAATTGTTTAATTTGATTGGCTGACCAATTTCATCAAAAGGCCCTTAGTGTTAGTTAGTATTGGCAATAAATATGAATTTTGTCATATATAATTTCGTCAACCTTTCTTAATAATGATTACTTCAATGGTTTTATTAATTTAGAAGGTGTAACAAAGGATGATGAAAATAAGCAAGTATTCACAGTAATATGGTATATACATATCTTTGGCAATAAACATTTTCTACAAATTGGGCTTGTACTGTGCCAGCAATTTTCTCAATAAAAATAAAACAATAAAACAACTTGATATTTTTTGAAAAGCCAAACAACAAAAGTATAATAACAAAAAAATTCTAACATGTTTTATATTATATACAGTATATATTAATTAATAACATATAATAATTTATAGTTGAAGAAT